TTCTTCTTCTTCTTCTTCATCTTGTTACCACCATCATCACCATCTTTGAATTGACTCCAAACATAGCTATTATTTTTGTTCTTCTTCGTGTTGTTGTTGTTACCACCACCACCATCACCATCTTTGTACTGACTCCGTCCCTTTGCCTTCTCCTTTTCTTCTTTGGATGCTCAAGCTGTATCTCGAAATGCTCGAATGAGTTTGGAGGCCATTGCAAGGCCAGACATGTGGGCAGGTAGATTTGTGCCCCTCCCTGCGTGAGCGGCATTCCTTCTGCTTTGCAACCTTCCTGATTTCCATGTTCCCCTTCTGCACATGTCTTCAGCGTGAACCTGGTGAAGTGGTCCTCGCAGGGGATGCTGCGCATGTCTCCGGAGGCCATGAACGAGCTCTTCCAGCCCACCATCAGCCAAATCGTCCAGCACATCGGTGAGCGAGGCCGCACCTCGGGCAATCCCACTGACACAAAGGCAGAGCCCCTTGAGACGTAGGCATGTCCCATTGGCACGTAGGTCAATCCCACTGAGGTAAGAGACCTACCCCACTGAGACCTAGGCCTGTCCCATTGAGACAAAGGCCCATCTCACTGAGACAAATGGCAATCCTATAGGCACCCAGGGAAATCCCATTGAGGCGTAAGTAAATCCCATTGGCACATAGGTAAATCCCATTGAGATAGAAACCTATCCCCTTGAGACATAAGCCAATCCCACTGACACTTGCATAATTCCCATTGACATGAGGGTAGACTCCATTGACACCTAGGCAAATCCCACTGAGATACACGCAAATCCCATTGACACGTAGGCAAATCCCACTGCAATAAAGACCAATCCCGTTGACACAGAGGCAAACCCATCGAGGCATAAATGAATCTCATTGGCACAAAGGTAAATCCCATTGAGATAGACACCTATCCTCTTGAGACATAGGCCAATCCCATTCAGACAAAGGACAATCCCAGTGGCACAGAGGCAAATCCCATTGACACTTGGATAGATCCCATTGGCATGTAGGTTAATCCCATTGACTGGGGCAAATCCCATTGACACTTGATTAATTCCCATTGACTGTTGGGTAGATCCCAATGACATACAGGCCAGTCCTATTGACCCATAGACCAGTTTTGTTGAGATAATGACCAATCCCATTGAGTTGCAGGCCTGTCCTGTTGGAACAAAGGGCAATCCATTGAGACATAGGCAAATCCCATTCAGACAAAGGGCAATCCCATTGACACACAGGCCAGTCCTATTGAGATAGGGACCAATCCCATTGAAACTAAGCCCAATCTCATTGAGACATCAGTGAATCCGATTGGCACGTATGTAAATTCCATTGACACTTGGGCAATTGACACATGAGTTGACTCCATTGACACCAAGGCAAATCCCACTGACATACAGGCCAGAACTATTGACCCATAGACCAGTCCCATTGAGTTAAAGACCAATCCCATTGAAATATAGGCTGGTCCCATGGAAACATGAGTGAATCCCATTGGCACTTAGGTCAATCCCATTCAGACAAAGGGCAATCCCATTGGCACAGAAGGCCAATCCCATTGACACTTGGATAATTTTCCACTGACACATGGGTAGATCCAGTTGACACAGAGGCAAATCCCGTTGATGTACATATTGACCCATAGACCAGTTCTGTTGAGATAAAGACCAATCCCATTAAGATGTAGGCCTGTCCTGTTGGAACAAAGGGCAATCCATTGAGACATAGGCAAATCCCATTCAGACAAAGGGCAATCCCATTGACACACAGGCCAGTCCCATTGAGATAAGTACAATTCCCATTGAAACTAAGCCCAATCCCATTGAGACATGTGAATCCCATTGGCACGTATGTAAATCCCATTGACATTTGGGTAATTCCCGTTGACACATGGGTAGACTCCACTGACACCTAGGCAAATCCCACTGACATACAGGCCATACCTATTGACCCATAGACCAGTCCCATTGAATTAAGGACCAATCCCATTGAGATGTAGGATGGTCCCATGGAAACATGAGTGAATCCCATTGGCATGTAGATCAATCACATTTACACAAAGGGCAACCCCATTGGCACAGAAGGCAAATCCCATTGACACTTGGCTAGACTCCATTGACACCTAGGCAAATCCCACTGACATACAGGCCAGAACTATTGACCCATAGACCGGTCCCATTGAATTAAAGACCAATCCCATTGAGTTGTAGGATGGTCCCATGGAAACATGAGTGAATCCCATTGGCACATAGGTCAATCCCATTCAGACAAAGGGCAACCCCATTGGAACAGAAGGCAAATCCCATTGACACTTGGGTAATTTTCCATTGACCCATTGGTCAATCCAGTTGACACCTAGGCAAATCCCATTGACATGTAAGCAAATCCCACTGCAAGAAAGGCCAGTCCCATTGAGTCAATGGGTTTAGTCTCCTTGGATCTAAAGCTAGCATGGGCCAACTTTGGCCCTCCCTCCAGGGGTGTTTGGACTCCAACTCCCACCATTCCTAACAGCCTACTGGCTGTTAGGAATGGTGGGAGTTGAAGTCCAAAACACCTGGAGGGCCAAAGTTGGCCCATGCCTGGTCTGAAGAAACTAGTCTGGATTCGGGACTGATGTGGTTGTTGTCTCGCGTTCCTTTCCGCAGCGGATCTCCTGGCTCGTCCGGAGGTGCAGGGGGTGAAGTTCCTGTTCCTGGTGGGGGGCTTTGCCGAGTCAGCGGTGCTGCAGCAGGCGGTCCAGGCGGCCTTTGGGGGCATGTGCCGGGTGATCGTCCCACAGGACGTGGGGCTGACCATCCTGAAGGGAGCGGTGCTCTTCGGGCTGGACCCCACCATCGTGCGCGTGCGGCGCTCCCCGCTGACCTATGGCGTGGGCGTCCTGAACAAGTTTGTGGAGGGCAAGCACCCCAAGGAGAAGCTGCTGGTCAAGGAGGGCAAGCACTGGTGCACTGATGTCCTGGAGAAGTTTGTCTCGGTGGACCAGTCGGTGGCCCTGGGGGAGGTGGTGAGACGCAGCTACTGCCCGGCCCGCTCCGGACAGCGCAAGATCATCATCAACGTCTACTGCTGCGCCACCGACGATGCGGTCTACATCACCGACCCCGGCGTCCGGAAGTGCGGCACCATCAGCCTCGACCTGGACGACGTGGAGGGGGGCTCCCACTCGCCAAAGAGGGGCGCCCGGAGGGAGATCCGGGCCAGCATGCAGTTCGGGGACACCGAGATCAAGGTGACCGCCCTGGACGTCCAGACCGCCAAGAGTGTCAGGGCCTCCATTGACTTCCTCTCCAACTGAGGACCACCATTCAGAGGTTTGGCCGAGATGGAAAGCTCCACCCGAGACCCCCTTCTCCTCTCATCTGGTGCTTTGGTTGTGCTTCTCCTGCACGAAGGAAGAAGGGGGTTGGACTAGATGGGCTCAAGAGGTCCCTTCCAACACTATTAGTCTATTATTCTATGCCTAGAAGGAAGCCAAGCTCCATCTGAGACCTTCTTTTCCATAAACATATGTGGTTCTTTGGTTGTGCTTTCCCAGCATGAAGGCACAAAAAAGGGGGTTGGACTAGATGGGCTCAGGAGGTCTCTTCTGACTATGATTCTATGCCTAGAAGGAAGCCAAGCTCCACCTGAGACCCCCTTCTCCTCTAATGTGGAGCTTTGTTTATGCTTCTCCTGCATAAAGGAAGAAGAGGGTTGGACTAGATGAGCTCAAGAGGTCCCAACTCTATTAGTCTATTATTCCATGCCTAAAAGGAAGCCAAGCTCCATCCGAGACCCTCTTCTCCATAAACATACGTGGTGTTTTGTGCTTTTCTTGAACGAAGGAAGAAGGGGGTTGGACTAGATGGGCTCAAGAGGTCCCTTCCAACACTATTAGTCTATTATTCTATGCCTAGAAGGAAGCCAAGCTCCATCTGAGACCTTCTTTTCCATAAACATATGTGGTTCTTTGGTTGTGCTTTCCCAGCATGAAGGCACAAAAAAGGGGGTTGGACTAGATGGGCTCAGGAGGTCTCTTCTGACTATGATTCTATGCCTAGAAGGAAGCCAAGCTCCACCTGAGACCCCCTTCTCCTCTAATGTGGTGCTTTGTTTGTGCTTCTCCTGCATGAAGGACGAAGGGGGTTGGACTAGATGAGCTCAGGAGGTCCCGACTCTTCTATTTTTCCATGTCTAAAAGGAAGCCAAGCTCCATCCGAGACCTTCTTCTCCATAAACATATGTGGTTTTTGTGCTTTCCCAGCATGAAGGCAGAAAAAGGGGGTTGGACTAGATGGGCTCAAGAGGTCTCTTGTCACTCTATTATTCTATGATTCTATGCCTAGAAGGATGCCAAACTCCACCTGAGACCCCCTTCTCCTCTAACGTGGCGCTTTGTTTATGCTCCTCCTGCATGAAGGAAGAAGGAGGTTGGACTAGATGGGCTCAAGGGGTCCCGTCCAACTCTATTAGTCTATTCTGTGCCCAGAAGGAAGCCAAGCTCCTCCCGAGACCCCCTTCTCCAAAAACATATGTGGTGCTTTCAGTATGCTTTCCCTGCATGAAGGCAGAAAGAAGAGGGTTGGTCTAGATGGGCTCAGGAGGTCTCTTCCAACTCTATGATTCGATGTCCATAAGGAAGCCAGTCAACACCCGCATTGGGTGGCCAAAAGGCAGCACGCTGGGACCAAAGGATAGCAAAGAACTGTCCAATTCTGGAAAGTTTGGACCTATATAGCTTCGTATTTAGCACTGAGCCATCTTTTGGGAACTCTAGTTGAAGGCTCGTCCCGTGGGTTGGCTCACTCATGGCTCTCATGAACTTCTCAAAATGGGGTGGCCATTGTTTTGGTCCATTTGCACCAGCCATCGTTCTCGGCCCGATGATAGCACTTATTTTCCTTGGATTCTGCAAGGACAGGGTCTCCACAGAAGGGCTCTGGAGATGGCTGCCTGGGCAGGAACCTCCTCCTCGGGATTCACGGCACAAAACGAGGCCAAGCACTCTGTCCATGCTCTGAAATGCCAAAGTTACGCTCACAGCTGGAGCCACGTGACCACAATAGAAAGAAGGTGAATGTCTTCCCACCTGGAAGTGTGGGATGGTCTTGGTGCGCTACACTCGAGTAAAGAGGGGCTGTTTGAAAGGTGGACCACTTGCCTTCCTCCATCCAAAAACCTGGTCAAAACCAAGGAGTCCGACCTGGATCCAATCTGGGCAGACTCCCCATCTTCCTCTTCTTCCCCTTGAATTCCCAAGAGAACCAGGAGTACATGGCCCAACGGAGGGGAAGGAGGCCCAGGGTGGAGCCACCAGGAGAAGAGAGAGAGGGACCTCTGCAAAGGAACTCAATCCCATCACTCCTTATGTGGGCTTTTCATTATTATCTCCTGCAATGTTTTGAAATAGTAACTTGTTAAATTCCTCAGTGTGTTGGTTTTTCATTTCTTCTGGGAGAAGGGTTGCTGCAAAACATGGGGGATGCAGGGTTTGAACGCAGTGCGGAGAGTGCCTTGGACTGCGAGAAGGTCCAACCAGTCCATCCTCCAGGAAAGAAAGCCCGAATGCTGCTCACTGGAGGGAAGGAGACGAGAGGCCAAGTGGAAGTCCTTTGAAGGCCACATCATGAGGAGACAGCAAAGCCTAGAGAAGGGAATGATGCTGGGGAAAGTGGAAGGCAAAAGGAAGAGGGGCCGACCAAGGGCAAGGCGGATGGATGGCATCCTTGAAGGGACTGGACTGACCTTGAAGGAGCTGGGGGTGGTGACGGCCGACAGGGAGCTCTGGCGTGGGCTGGTCCGTGAGGTCACGAAGAGTAGGAGACGACTGAACGAATGAACAACAACAAGCAGGGTTTTAAGCAGAGGCTGGATGGCCATCTGTCAGGGGTGCTTTGAATGCAATTTTCCTGCTTCTTGGCAGAATGAGGTTGGACTGGATGATGGCCCAGGAGGTCTCTTCCAACTCTTTGATTCTAGGATTGTATGTCTCCCCTTAAGCTTCTCTTCTGGAAGGGTAAACAGACCCAATTCTTTAAGCCGCTCCTCAGAGGGATTATTTATGGTCCCCAGACCTTTGATCCTTGTAGCCACCCTCTTCTTCTGCACCCTTCCAGCTTTTAAGAAAGTAAATAAATAAATAAGTAATTAAGCCATATCTCTTTTGCACTGTTTTGCCCAGAATTGGACTCCGTGTGATTCCAGGTGAAGAGGTCTGACCAAAACAGAATACAAAGGCAACCAGACTAATAATAATAATAATAATAATAATAATAATAATAATAATAATAACTTTATTTGTACCCCGCTACCATCTCTCCTTGTCTGTCTTGTCCACCTTGGCATCCTTGAAGTGACTGGACTGACCTTGAAGGAGCTGGGGGTGGTGACGGCCGACAGGGAGCTCTGGCGTGGGCTGGTCCATGAGGTCACGAAGAGTTGAAAGCGACTGAATGAATAAACAGCAACAAAACCATCTCCCCAAGGGACTCGGTGCGGCTTACATGAGGCCGAGCCCACAATACAACAACAAACAATAACAACAATAATACAAAACAATAAAATAAAACTCATAAACAAAAAACAAGCAGTAAGCATTAAAAATAGCACAACAACACTGAAAAAAATCTATGTCTGGGCCAAATGTAATAATTAAAAATTTAAAAAATAATGTTGAGCATGATCAGGTGAAATATATAACTAGGATAGAATTTCGGAGAGGAAAGGGCGTGCAGACAATCCTAGATCATGATAAAGTGCATTTAGGGACATATTGCTGGGAGTTTCCTTATTCTGGGAAGGCACACTGGAACAACCACGTTTTCAGGCTCCTCCTAAAGACTGCCAACATTGGAGCATGTCTGATGTCCTTAAGGAGTGAGTTCCAGAGTCGAGGGGCCACCACTGAGAAGGCCCTCTCCCTTGTCTCCACCAATTGCACCTGTGATGCAGGTGGGAGCGTGAGCGAAGAGATCGTATGGGTTCGTATACAGAGATGCGGTCACGCAGGTAGGCAGGTCCCAAACCGTTCAGGGCTTTGTAGGTAAGAACCTGCACCTTGAATTGGGACTGGAAAATGAACGGCAGCCAGTGGAGCTCCTTAAACAGGAGGGTTGACCGCTCCCTGTAAGGAGCACCAGTTAACAACCTGGCGGCCGCCCGTTGAACCAACTGAAATTTCCGGGCCGTTTTCAAGGGCAGCCCCACGTAGAGTGCATTACAGTAGTCCAATCTGGAGGTGACTAAGGCATGGACCACCCTGGCCAGATCCGCCTTCACGAGGTACGGTCGCAGTTGGCGCACGAGTCTCAATTGTGCAAAAGCCCTCCCGGCCACCGCCGACGCCTGAGCCTCAAGCGTAAGCGATGAATCCAGGAGGACTCCCAAACTGCGGACCTGTGGCTTCAGGGGGAGTGTCACCCCGTCCAACACAGGTTGCCACCCTATACCCCGATCCGGTTTGCGATCAACCAGGAGGACCTCTGTCTTGTCAGCCTGTTCCTCCTCATCCAGATCGACACAGTGGCCAGGCACTCGTCCAGCACCCGAGAAGCCTCCTTGGAATTAGGTGGAAAAGAGTAGTAGAGTTGCGTGTCATCTGCATCGAGATGGCACCCAACTCCAAAACTCCAGAATTGGACTTCTTCCCTCAGTCTGGACACTCAACTCCTTTGGATGCAGCCCAGAATCCCCTTGGCATTTTCAGCTGCTGCATCACACTCTGGGCTCATCGTGTTCAGCTTGTTCCCCACAAAGACTGACTCCCAAGGTCTTTTTCACATGGAGTGCTTTTGATTAAGTGTCCCCGAGAGACCAAAGGTGTGAGACTCTACTGACAAAGGTGCCGATCTTGGACCATCATGAGGCAGGAAAATCACCTTCAAAGCACCCTGACAGATGGCCATCCAGCCTCTGCTTAAAAGCTTCCAAAGAAGGAGCCTCCACCACACTCTGGGGCAGAGAGTTCCACTGCTGAACAGATCTCACAGTCAGGAAGTTCTTCCTATGTTCAGATGGAATCTTTCCTGTCAGTTTGAAGCCATTGTTCCATTGCATCCTAATCTCCAGGGAAGCAGAAAACAAGCTTGCTCCCTCCTCCCTATGACATAGTCCCCTCACATTATCATGTCTCCTTTCAGCTTTCTCAGGAGGAGGAGGAGGAGGAGGAGGAGGAAAGAGTAAGGCTTGTTTTGTGCTGCTCCAGAGACTGGGACACAATGGACGCCCACAGCGGGAGATGAGATTCCACCTAAACCTTAGGAAGAACTTCACTATAGTCAGAGGACTATGCTGCTGCCGGAGAGAGCCTCCTTCTCTGAAGGTTGTTGTTAAGCAGAAGCCGTGGGCATTTGTCAGGAGGGATTGGATGGTGCCTTCCTGCCTTGCAGAATAGGATTGGGCTGGATGGCCTTTGGGGATCCTAACTCCTTCCAATTCTGTAGAGAAATAGAGCCAGCTGGGAGTTTAGTGTAGTCCCCTTTCTTCTCTGGAGTTTTTAAATAATAATAATAATAATAATAATAATAATAATAATAATTATTATTATTATTAAAGTAGAGGCTGGGTGACCCTCTGTCGGGAGTGCTTGGATAGTGTCTTCCCGCCTGGCAGAAGGGGTCAGACTGGATGGCCCTGGGGATCCCTTCCAATTCTATGCTGTTAAGTACAGGCTGGATGGCCATCTGTCGGGAGGGCTTTGGTTGTGTCTCCCTGCCTAGCAGAAACTGGACTGGATGGCCCTTGCGGAGTACCTTCCAGCTCTATGGTCTTATAATTCTATGGAGATATCAGTTTGATTCCTTCAGGACGAATTCAGCACACACACACACACAGAAACCATCATCTGTCCTGGAGATGGCTGCGTACATTGCGTTGCGATGTCCCAACATTGGCGTGGCTTTTGTGGCTCCCTTTGCATGGCTGGTGGCGCAACCGCTTGGCCCAAGAAGGTGCCTCTCTTTGGGAGGAGACCCCAGAGTGTCCCAGCGGAGGATGACCTTCTTGGGAGCCCCACCAATGTCCAAAGCCCATCCCCTGCGGAGGAGAGAGTGCGTGAGTGAGTGAGTGATGGTGGCCGTGGCGCAGGAGGCGGCCTAC